AAACATGCATTTTGAGCAAAATAACTCTGTATGTTTCTGGTATATATCCCAAAAATGTAAAAATGCAACTATGAAACATAATAAATCAAAGTCTCCTGGTTTTACCGGTGTCGATACTTTTCAATGTCCTTTGTACCTGAAATCCTTGTGATATACCAAAACTCTTGCATTGAATTGAATTTAAAGTAGCACCTGGCAACAGGGGAAAACAAAAAATGATAAATCAATAAAATCACATTGCGTGGTAATAATAAATCCATCCTCAATTTTAATCGGCATTCCACTTGAAAATGCCCTAGTAAAGCATGCTTTTTTGGATTCAATGTCAACATATGGCAACATATCCCAGTTACAAGCACACCTTGGTTAGAGGACACTTTAACAATGGCCTGGCACAGCCTGACCCCATCTTCTGCCGAAGCAGTAAAACTACAAACTAGGATAGCCCGTTGTCAATAACTGCTAAAACAATTAACAGATTGATTTAAGGATAGCAACACGATCAACTGAAACAAGCTGGCTGGTATATAAATGGAATCACAAATCCAAATTGTCACAACGGAATCTTTAGCTTCTCAAGATCACAGCAATATTTGGAGGGAACTTTTGGAGACGAATGATGAATATTTCCATTTTATTCATAATTCTGAGCATGACTGGGGCGGTTTTTGCGATAGAGGATGAACCATGTTTTCAGGAAACAAAAGAAACGACACTAGGTGACAAAATCGCAAGATGTCTGAGTAACAATAAAACAGACTGCGGGGACATCTCGAGGAAACAGGACAATCTGCTGAAGAACCAATGTGGCCTGTCAAAAACTGTCGCTGAAATCGAATCAAAGGTTGATAATGTGATCCAGATAGTGGAAGCTATTCAAAAGAAGATGGATGCTCTGGGAGATTGTGGTAATGCTGGTGATGCTGGGAATAGTGGTAAGTCATACAGATTACTTATTCAGACAATTTAGATTTAAGGGACCATGGTACTTAACAGGAAATGACAAAACCATGCTGGATTTTGAGTATTTGATAAAAGAGTTCTGTTTTGGCCTTGACTGAAAACAATTTTGAACAAAATACTGTAGAAGTGGAAACTTTAGCGAAACAAAACTTTAGCGAGATGGTCCCTAAAACTCTATTGCCGAATTAAACTTTTCCGGACAAGCAATCAAGAAAATGGAAAATTACTTGGGCGAGCTTATAAGCTTATTATTACTTACCTTTCGTGTCACCATCAAAGGTGAGTTGTTTATGTTTGTGTGTAATCCCAAATCAATGTGCTCAAACCGTACAGTAGGTACTCATCGGCCGACGCGGGTACTGAAAATCGGAACAAATGTGATCAAGGCATTCACTAGTTCCACATATCATTAACATGACCAGGATCACAATGTACATGGTCAGAATGAACCTAAACAAGATGAAATAACTTTTTCAGCCCTTTAAACATGTGACTGAAAAATAGCTAAAAGTAGCTTTTTTATGACCGCCATTTTTGTTTCAGACATTTTTTAAAAATTTCGTTCAGAACATGCAGGAACACGTTTTTAACAGGACTTGTACGTGAACGTGTAATTTCATGATCTTCTGGGAATCAAAAAATTACTTATTCACGTACAAGTTAAAACGTGTAACGTGTAACCTCCTTATTCTTTCTAAAATTTGAAGTTGTAGGGTCAACACAATTATTTCTGAACTTGTAATTATATTTTCTTTGTCTATATTTTATCAAATTGTTGCCTTCAATTTTCAGGTGAGTTTATTTTTGAACTTGTAATTATATTATCTTTGTCTATATTTTATCAAATTATATTTTATCAAATTGTTGCCTTCAATTTTCAGGTGAGTTTATTTTTGAACTTGTAATTATATTATCTTTGTCTATATTCTATCAAATTGTTGCCTTCAATTTTCAGGTGAGTTTACAGAGGATTGTGGCTTGGATGAGGCATACGAAGGAGTGGCATCCTTAACCAATCAGAACAAAAGCATTAAGATATACTGCAAAGATGGATGGTTGTATTTAGCAAAGCGGTTTGACGGTAGTGTAGACTTTTACCGCAATTGGACAGAATATCAAAGAGGCTTTGGCGATGTCGATGGTGAATTCTTCATAGGATTGGACAACCTTGCTAGTGTTTTGAAACAGAAAAAGTACAAACTGCGTGTTGATTTGACCAAATGGTCTAATGAAACGGCCTATGCTGAATACTCTACATTTGAAGTAGCGGATGTCAGCCAGAAGTACAAACTAACTGTCGGAGGGTACACTGGGACAGCTGGGGATGCAATGGCTTTCCACAATGGTCGTTATTTCACAACATATGATCAGGACAATGACCCATACAGTGGAAATTGTGCGCCAAGATATAATGGAGCATGGTGGTATAATGTCTGCCACAGGTCCAATCTGTTTGGTGTGTATCAGCATAATCCCACTGGTAAAAGTGCATATGGCCAAGGTCTATGTTGGCAACAATACACCGATTTCTATTACTCCATGAAAGAAATGGCAATGAAAATCAAGCCTCTGTAAAAACATTCCATCAATACGAAAGGCTAGTTAATCTAAAAAATATAGTTGCATGAAATATAGTTAATTAGAAAACTGGAATTCAAGCAAAAATAGGAATAATGTTAAAAAGACATGTCAAAGTTCAATTGACAGCATTTCAAGCTACATTGACAAACCATGGTTGTCATATATGCAAAATAATTTATTTTTGATTTTGTAATGATATTTCTAAATATATATTAATATATGATTCACTTAAAAATATGTTGTTTAATTATGAGTTAAAAAATATAAACAAAGACTGCATTTACCTTTTTGTCAATTTCTGATGGTGTTGTTAAACCTGCACATTGCTCCAAAACGCAATATGTTGACATATATTGTTTTTACATTTTCAAGCTCTAATATAAAGTTTATGTAAATAAAAATTGTTTTTTTCTGCGTAATATCAAAGAACAATCATTTAGTTAAAAAAATAAAAAGGCAAGTGCGGGGATTCGAACCCGGGCCTCCCGCTTGCTAAGCGAGGATTCTACCCCTACACCACCGAGTTCTTATGGAGAGTGGAAGTAATTTAACGCTACTTATTTTGAATGCTATGCTTCGGAAGTGACGTCACGTTCTTCATTTAGAAACCTTTCCAAAATCATATCGCCGGCACCGATCGAAGCAAATTCAATGAAAAATCTTTGAAATGACACATTTATCGTAAGTATTTCTACACAAGATTTGCCCCATTTGTTCATCATTCTATAATCTTTCATTAAGCTCAAAATGATAAAGTTCACCCCCGAAACAACCCAAGATTGCGTTTCGGAGGGAAGTCCAGCTTTAAGAGGTCTTCACATTCTCATCCACACGTTAACGTAATGAATCAAACTGCTGGAATGACAAACTGAATTTGGAGAGTACAGTGACCTCTGGTGGACCGTGTTCCAATTGAACATCGGTATCTCCCCTTTTCTTTTCACCACCATCTCTTGGCATAAGATAAATCAGAATGATTTATGTATTAATTCATCTATACCTTTGAACCTAAGAATCCAAGGACGTAATATCTCACCCATGTACGTATACAAGTATTCAACCATGATGGACGAGATCATATTTACACAAATATGATTTTCATTTATTTCAGAGAGCGAAATGTCCGTAAGAACTGATGAAATTAAGCGAGTCAAAAAGAAAATTTCAGTTAATTCCATGTTATAACTTGGGAGAATATTTATGCCATCTAAAGACAAATATTTCCTCATAAGAAGACATGCCTTTACTAAACATCCATTGATCCCTCAGCATATAGTGGTACCAACGTATTTAATGGTCACTCAATCTTGAGTGGTTGCTAAATATTTATTGGTACTACCGTTTTTGGGTGATACCACAAAACAGAGTCGGACCAACATTTGTATTGAGTCAATATTATATGCGAAAATCAAATATAGTTTTACTAAATCGAATAAATAATATTTTCAAAAAATCACATAAAATGTATAATTCATTTTGACAAAAACATGTTCGAATCAAAATCAAATACAACAATGAGGCAAAATAGGAGGAAATATTCTGATCTAGCAAATAATGAATCTTCTTCTTACAAACATATTCCAAAAGATCCATAGAAAAACATCAAATTGTGGAGTTATTTGAGTTAATGTACACATTTTATAGTCATCTAATAAACATAGATATCAGAGAAATTACTTTTGGTATTATGTTAGTGCATGGAGTTTGAAGGGGGCGGGGATAAAATTACCAGTCTGCTGATTGATGACTTGATAACTTATAAAAGATCTTCTAGATTTACGTCTGACTAACGTCCTTTTAACAATCAAGCCTGAGAATACATAGGAACTTTCCCTCTCCCAGAAGAAATGTTATACTTGTATTACATCAACCATTCTGGTATTTTATTCTGGTATCATTCCGGTGCTTTATTCGTACAAAACGAAACTACATAAGTATACGATACGCACACACCCTCTTTCAATAAATGTTTGTATTACTACTAAAATAGCTCAACGCGGGATCTGACTTTATGTATGCCGCACAAAAAAATCAGTAATTCCCAAAGCTATCCGGTGTGAAAAAAATGATGGTCCCCCAGGGATTGTGATCCCCTTTCTTAACGGCCCTTACTGGCCCTGATTGCGTATAAATTAAGAGGGAAGGGAAGAGTTGTATTTAGGTCACCATATAAATCAATGGAGAGTAGGACCATTATTTGATAGGACCTCCTACCCTTTTACACCGGGTCCAGCCAACAGCCTTCCGAAAAATAACGTTTCACAATTTAATCCGATATTCGAAGAATTGGTAGGTCTAATTAGATTGTTTAGCAACGTTTTGAAATATGTGTCAAGTAAACACATAGTGTACCAATCAACGCCTCACCTGTTCGATATACGCAGTCATGAAATAATGTGAGAGGCTAATCAACCGTTGGTCACATTAAATTGATGTTTGTATGTTATTTCCAAATGGGTTGGCCACTCTCGGGCTGGTATCACCTCCAAATATTTGGCATAGAGTAAGTACTTCTTTATCATTGGACTCCGTCTGAATTTGCCCCACCATTCCCCATCGAGTCCCATGATGTCCCAGGTGGTACTCTGTGGGACTCGATCAGGTAACTTTGGGAAAAATTAGTAATTATTCTGTTGTAGGCTTTCATTTATTCTATTTGTACCCAGTCTGTATCTCGTATCTTTACAATTCATAATTTTCTTGAGCTCCATAGATTAAACAGAGGGATATTATCATAACTTTTTTGGTTTGCAGATTTGGATTCCTGAGAAAATTGTACCTTTATTCTATAACTCACACATTAAAGGAGTGGTATCGATATGGTGAACTTTTTGACACGCGTTTCTCTTAAACAAGTCATCAAAACATTCTGAAAAGGAGCACGTGGGTTATCGCAAACAATTTCAAAAGGTTATATCTTGGATTATGACTATTTTCTGACAATGAAGACAAGTTTATCTTTTAGATCAATTCATTATCTCAATCAATCAAATTTTCCTTTTAGTAAATCGAACATGTCTCAAAGCACATTCTAATTATGCATTCAACAATATAATGATAGGTTGCATTTTTGGTGAAAATTAGGTCAACATTTTTGAAAAAGTATGTTGATCGGTCCATTGCCCCTTCAATATCACTTAGGTTTGATTAACTAAATTATCATTATATATAATTTTTTTGAAGATAATGAATGGATCTAAAATATACACCCATGTTCATGATCAGAAAATATTCATAATTCAAGTTAGAATCGTTTGAAATTGTTTGCGATAACCTACGTGCTCCTTTTACACATCGTCAATTTAATGGTCATCTTTTGATGGTAACATCATAATTTGAAATATATATATCCTTTCTCTATATTATTTTAGAAAACACACCAGACACTTCTTTTGTTCTTGGTATCATATGTTCGGAACGAAATGAAACATCCGAAACTCATTGGAACAAAACGACAGTAACACAATGTGTTTAGGTCTCTCAATATTGTAATTGTACAAAGGAAAGTTTGGTTGATTTAAAAAAAGTATCTTGTTTATGAAATAAAAGGTTTATCTTAATTTTTATCTTTTTTGTTTTAAGTTTTTGCATACGTTTTTTTTAAATCAACCAAAATTTCCTTTGTATAACTGTAATATTGAGAGGTCTAAGAAAATGTTGTTATGCTATTTTGTTCCAACGAGGTTCGGAAAGACATTTTATTTCATTCTCAAGAATTGGTAGAAAGGAACAAAAAACAATTGCACTAAAAACAAAAAATGTTAACAAAAACAGTTATATAAAATATATATAAATAATTTTTGCATTAAATTGTTGCCAATTAGTCAACATTACAAAAAGGACCGTGTTTTTACAGAATGTTTTCAATAATTGGTTTGGGAGAAAAACATTATTGAATTCAGTTCACCATATAGATACCTATCCTTTGGCTATGGTTTTTGTTTTGACCTTCTTTTCGGACACTATATCCTCTAGTCTGAAATTTTTTTGAAATTTGGAATGAAAATGTTTGAATGAAATTCAAAAATGAAATTCAGTCTATTGGATATAAACTACTTGCTCATTTTTTAAATTCAAAGTAGTTCCAAACATTTAAAATTTTACTGTATGCCTTTTAGTTTTCAAATGTTGAGGCAAAGTAGGTTATACAGACTAGTTAAACCAACACAAACTGCGAATATAGTGTACGGTATAACGCGATACGGTAGGCCTAACGAAATTCAAATTCGTTGGACAGAATGTCAGTGCAAATGCATTCACCGTGGGTTCGTGCTTTGTACTATATGTACATTCTGTCCAACTCGTGCTGAATTTAACCATATTGAACCTATCGTTATTTATTCCTTAATTAAAGGATAGTATATTATATTTGTAGCTGATGAGGAAATCAACAAAAGTCCCAATTGTTGTTGTGATTCAAAGAGTTATTATACCTTATGGAGTAAACATGGAGAACCAGATTCATCCAGAGGCGGTTGCCTATCAGCCTCAGCAGCAAGTGGTGTACACCATTCAACCCCCACCTACCAGTGGTAAGGTTGAACAATTCAATGGAAGAGCAGCAACCATAATAGGATCCTTAATGATTGTTTTGGGGATTTTATCTATTGCTCTAGGGGGTGCAGCTTTTGGAATAATGGCATCATTGTATTTCATTGGTGCAGGAATCTGGTGCGGGTTTTTGGTACGTATGGTACAGGGTGACAAAAAATGCCACCCACTTAATGATGGATAACCTTTTTGCCTGCATGATATTTGAATCTTTTAAAACTAGGCTCCATGGAGCATCTCCACAAGAAGTTTCAGTTGACTAGTGCAACTGCACAACATCAACTGCCCAAATGCGCTTTTATGAACGTTGCTATAAATGTCGTCCATTCCTTTGCACATATTTCACGGTACCGTACAGTAGCATTTCCAAAACAGTACCGTACAGTAGCATTTCCAATACAGTACCGCACGGTACTGTTGCAGATTGGCTGAGTATCTACTTTAATATTAAATCAATATAAAATCTCTTGAATAATTTTTTATCTGAAAATATCCCAGGTTGTTGTCTATTTTTAAGTATTTGTTTATTCTAAAATTAATCATAATAATCTGAACAATCATAAAACGCATCACTTTTTAAGATAGTTAAAGTACTCAGTATCAGCGATGTAAATAAAAAAAGTTCAAATATTTAACAAACAAATGATATACAGGGTGACCCAAAAAGCAGAATGATCGAAAATTGTAATCTTTTATATTCTCATATTCTTATATAATTGCATATTAGATGCAGTATTCCATATTATATTTCATATGACGTGGAAAACAAATCAATGTTTTTTTAACGGATCAAATATATTTGTAGACAGTTCTGTACATCTCCTGTTGAAATTTAGCTAATTTTCCTATTACTGAATGATCCCATTAATTCCTTAAATAAATGTTCAACTCCATTTGTGAATAGCAAGTTGTTTACCATTTTCAGTTTATTGTGACTGGATCACTTGGCATCGCTGCAGGCAGATTTAAATTAAAATGTTTGGTAAGTAGTCCTCAATTACAGCTGATATCAAGATTTTCATCATATATTCTGAAAATAATACTGTACAGGGTGTCAATTAAGTCCCGCCCCCCCCCCCCCTGCTACAGCTAAAACCTTAATAGATGGTACCTAGTGTGATATACCATTGGAAAGATCATTCAAAGCTATGTTAACTCACCAACTCTCAAGTATTCTGGATGAAATTCACCTATATTTTTGTGATGTCTTTTATAGTTAGTGTACTCTCCCTAAGCAGCTTTTATTGCTTCAAAATGAGAAGGATATGAACTCAGAAATACGTCAAAAAGCTAACCTTTTTCGCATTCCACTTGTTACAAAAAGGTTTCACTGGCGGATTAGGGGGGGGGGCCTGGGTGGGCCCCTCTTGGGTGGGCCCAGAAAAAAAAAATTGGGCCCAAAAAAATTTTTTGGCATAAAAAAGCCTTGAGGCCCCAAAAAGTGGGCCTTTTTGGTCATTACTGGGCCTTTTAAAGCCTTATTTTTTAATTTCAGGCCAAATTTTGAAGAAAATGGGCCTCAAAATTTCAAATTTTGGACCCACTTTTGGGTTTTAGGGGCCCAACATTTTTTTCCGCGCAAGCGCGGACGTTTTTTCTCTTACTTGAAATTTGGGCCCCCCCCCTTGTTGATTCCCAGATCCGCCCCTGGGTTTTCACCACTTTCCTTGCACCTTTATTTTCTACTTATCTAACCCTATCAAGAAATTGGTTTAATTCACTGCCTTATACTAGTACATAGATTGTCATTTTTAGGTCCTTTGACTTTTCTGATACACGATTCTTAAAATCCTGCCAAATACGCCAAATTACCATGTTTCTAAGTCTATGGTCACCTCAATTGATACGATGTAAAAATTTGTGACATTGATTGACATGTATTAGATTTATGCCAATCAACGTAACTTTGGAAGACCTTTCCAATGATATATCACACTTGGTACCATATATCTTGGTTTTGGCTGTAGAAGGGGGGGGGGACAAATTTGACACCCTGTATAATATCAGATACCCCTTTATTGTCTGATCAGCAGCATGTGTACAGGTGTCAGATACCCCTCTTTACGTAATACTTCATTACGTAACGTCATTAATTACCGTATTCTTGAACAAGAATGACTTTGAATGCCACTTTATACAATAGTGCGTATGATTATTGATTAGCATCATACGCGCCCCTAGACGTAAATCTTAGGTTATTTTATTCTAGTTTTGTTTATGTAAATATGTTTATGTGTATGACTTTATAAATCATAAACATGTATGTCATTATCTCTATTTGATTGTTATGTTATTTATAAATATATATATATTTGAACATGACTGTATCCAAACCTTCTGTAAACTGTGAACAAAGTCAATATTTCACCCGACATTTATTCGTCAATACAATAACTGGTACTATGAGACCTCAGATCAATTATTATGTCGAGTAATAGATACCATAGGGCTTGGCACAAAAGTTCTGGGTACAGAAAACCTTTGTGCCTAGCCGTGCGGTATTTATTCATCGATATAATACCTGCTCTTCGGTCTATATATCTTTTTAATTAAAAAAAACTGATTGTTCCAAGGGCTATCCAAAATTCGAGGGTTTGATCTAAACACGTCTTAGATTTGATATTTGGACAGAATTCTTTTCTTTTGCAGATCATCACATTTATGGTTTTGTCAATCATGATAGTGTGTACTGCCTGCCTCACTCTCTTGATTATCTCTGGAACTGGACTGGCAAGCGATGTTCAATACATCAAGTATCAATCTATTCTATGTAATAGTTTTTATACATACATGAGCATGCACTCTCCTTGCCGTGACAAGGTGAGCCTAGATGTCATTCCAATTAACTGATTTGGTTCAAATTTTATAGGTTAATGCATTATAGGTGTCACTGTCAATTTTTAATTGTCTGACCATCATTTATGCTTTTTATCATTAATTCAGACTGAACTGCTTGCTATAAATGCATTACTGGTGATGGCATGTACCGTGCAAGCAATTCTGTGTATCACATCCTCAGCCTACTGCTGTAGGGCTGTCTGTTGTTGCTGCAACAAGAATGTAAGTGAATTGATTTACTAACTTAGAATAAAAAGAAACAAAGTAGCCGCATTAACCCTTCCCGACGTGAATATAATTTGATGTATATTTGATGAAAAAATCCCTAGAACTGGGTCTATTTTTTGAAAAATCCTAAAACTGGGTACTGTTTTTGAAAAGAATCGCCGGAAGTGGGTCTTGTTTTTTGTTAAATATCTTGAAGTAGGTCTATTTTTGAATGAAAACCCCTAGATGTGGGTCCATTTTTAGAGAAAAAAATCCCTAGATGTGGGTAGATAAATTGAGTCTCAGCGGCACCCCCCTGTACAAAAATTTGACCAGTACCCCCCCCCCCCCTTCCCCGGGAGTTTAAGCTTCCAATGTTTTCACAACCCTAAACGTGAACAGATAATATTTAAGCGATGCATTTGTATGGGCGATTGGTCATACGTACAGGTTGGCGTTTCGATTTCATATGCAAGCGAAACTCCCTAGCCCAGTGACGGATAAGTAAGAGCGGTTTTAGGTAGAAACTGGTAATGACGTATACCACTGGACCTATAGATTTTATCACTAAAATACAATTTTTAATAAGCACTATCACATGTCAACAACTTGTCAGAATTTGGTGTAAAAATACATAATAGAACTGGAGATATTGCCATTTTATTGACGTATGTAAATAAAAATAGTGGTGCCTAAAGGAGCCTATCGTCCTAAACGGTAATCTGCTTGTAAAATCACACTGTTGACAGGCCCGTAGCCAGGATTTGCCAAGGGGGGGGGGGGGCAGACTGGGGGGGGGGCAGTTTTCAAAAATTTCAAGGGGGGTTCTCATATGACAAAAAAAAACTGAAAGAACTTTTGGCCGGGGGGGGGGGGGTTCGCCCGAATCCTGCGAACTCCCCTTGGCTGCAACAGGCCTGTTTGATAATAATTATATAATACTATTAATAACATAAATTAATGAATGTAGTTCTAATGCTCAGTATGGAGAATGCTTATTTACTTTAAAACATGTTAATATTCTCAGGTATTAATTACACATGACCATATTATTGGACAAGGACACCAAGAAGTCCTAACAATGACCACAAGTGGGCAACAAGAAGTCCCAACAATGGCCCCAATAGGACAACAAGGACTCCCAACAATGGCCCCAATAGGACAACAAGGACTCCCAACAATGGCCACAATGGAACACCAAGAAGTCCCAACAATGGCCCCAATAGGACAACAAGGACTCCCAACAATGGCCACAAGTGGACAACAAGGACTCCCAACAATGGCCACAAGTGGACAACAAGGACTCCCAACAATGGCCAAAATGGAACACCAAGAAGTCCCAACAATGACCACAAGTGGGCACCAAGGAGTCCCAACAATGACCACAAGTGGGCACCATGGGGTCCCAACAGTGACCACAAGTGGGCAACATGGAGTCCAAATAATGCCTATAAGTGACCAGTCAGACAATGCTGCCCTTGTGCCACAGATAAATGCCACCAACCAACAAGGTGATCTACACAAAAACGTTCATTTAGCCATTTTAATTTATTGAATTTCTTGTTTGTCAGGTCTTCTCACTCAAAAGAAAAAAATAAAGAACAGTAATATAATTGATATCACGACCCTTCAAATCATCTGAAATAAGAAATTCATAAATGCCTGGCTTTCTTTCCAGGTGTCCGTAGCATCAACATTCCACCTGGCTACAGTATCACTATACAACCAACACCTGAATACATTGCTAGTGTACCGCAGTCCCAAGCTGTCGGTGACCAACCTCCCCAGTCGTGGAAAACCCAAATCATTGAAAATCAATGAACTAAATAGTTATAGACACAAACAATAAATGAACTCAACCAATTTAAATGCATCAAATTGATGAAAAAATGAATGGTGTCAAATGATGCCAATATATATCCAAGAGAAATAGAAATTGAAAATGACTTTCATGAGAAAAAACATGAGTTACAATTTGGACAATAAATATAAATAAATGAGTTTTTTTAAACAATAAATGGTAAGAACTTTAAATTAAGATAAATTTATTCGTATATACAATATATTACAAAGAAAAAGCTCTGCATTGTAATTTACATTATAAAAATTTAATGAAACCACCTCAGCAAGTTTTTATTTACATACAAAATATCAAATATATTTCAAGGTCCAATATATATTCTTCATATGTACAATATGTTACAAAGAGAGCTCTACATTATCAGATTTACATTGATGTACAATATTGTCTCCTTTTTGAAGTTGTTTTATTTATTTACATAATCTTTCTACTATACCTAACCCCTAGAAATGCATAAGATACTCTGTTTGTCTAATTGTATTGTTTAGTATATTTTTGAAAGTACTTCATCAACATCTAACAGTCATCCGATAAACCATTAATAAGGAAAAGACAAATAAAAACAAATAACGTAATGCAAAGTGCAAACCTACTATTGCCCATCTCAAAATACACGAGCCCCGTTATGATTAAGAGGTCGCGAGCAAGTTCCCGCTGAAATCGCGAGCAATAAAAAGAAAAGAATGGTTATCTTTTGCTTAGTTTAACTGTATATTGAACAAAGCGTTTTCATTTAATTTTCCTCAATTATTACATGCTATTGAAACTAAAAAGCAACTGCAGCAAAAAAGTATCACGAGCTGATGTTCTGTGTTTCGTTATTTGATAATTGGAGAGAGAATGTATCATCTTGACTCTTTATCTATATATTTCTATATTTTTATTTTATAGCTGAAGAAGGTCGTTGCCCTTCAGTTGAAATGGTCATAGTGGTATGAAATACTAGTAAAGATATTCTGAGTTTCACTTCCTAAAGCTTCACAAAAAATATATTTCAATTTTACCATATCCATCAATGCCCCGCTTCTACCATGAGCAATAAACTAAAGATCCCGCTGTGGACATGAGGAGGCCCCGCTGAAAACATGAGGAGGTCCCGCTGAATTCATGTTTCTCTGAACCATTTTCATGCATTGATGGATCGATTGCCTTATTTTTCGGCAAACAGCACGTGAGGATGAATGCCATATATATATTGGTGTGAATTAACATTGACCGTACAATATAAAACAAAGTGGTTTAAACTTTATATGACGAGGGCTTTGTGAAAAAAAGAGTTCAGGAGATGATAGAATCTTGGATGTGATAGAGCAGCATGGGATGTCTCTGTTTCATATAAGGCTAATTTTCCTGAACTTCATGCTTCCATTAAGCTGTAATTTAAGTTGAATTTATATTGAAGTCTAAAGGGGTGTATACGCTGACAGGCGAAATGCTTGAAACGGGGGGGGGGTGTGAAAAGGCCGAAATGATTGAAATGATTGAAATGAAAGAGAATGCGAAAATAGCTTCTAAACGCGAATTAATTGATTGAAACGAAAAACATGCATGTTCGTTTTTCTTTTGAAAAGTTATTCATGGTGTATACAGGGCTTTGCAGTGTATACATTGTATAATACACGATCTGTCCATCTTTCTCCTACACATTCGGTTTCGTTTATTTTGAAATTCAAGAATGGATGCAACTCTATAACATGTCTGACAAAATCGTTCTTCTCTGGTGACTTGAAGTTGCAATAGGAACATAACAAACGTGGCCCTAGAATGAAACCGTATAATATAATTATTAGAAATACTTAACTTGGTCTTTCGTGTACGTTTATTTGAAGAACCTCAAAATTTCATGGAATAGTAATGAAGCTTTCCTCGTGATCGAAGCGGGTACTCGTGAAATCTGCTCCTGGTTTCAGCGGGACCTCCTCATGTTTTCAGCGAGGCTTCCTCATAATTTCAGCGGGGCCACTGGTACACCTCCAATGGAGTATTTCACCCCCCACAGTAAATGTTATTGTAGACTAACTTATCAATACATACAATGTTGATCCAATATTGATCATGAGGTATGTATATCGTAGTTCTTGTCTCTATTTTAACGATAAAAGTAATATGTTAACAGTAGATTATGCAAACGTGCATATTGACGCCCGTTTCTTTCATGCCAGTGAAAAAATATACATTCCCTTTCATCACTGTGTTTCATTGTTTGTGAAGATATACATGTTCACAAACTCGTGATTTCAGCGGGAACTTGCTCGCGACCTCTCAATCATAACGGGGCTCGAGATACAACCCGTGAAATAGATCGTTTTTCTGTATTCTCAGTTGTTTTACCAAGATAAAGTTATAGATGTCTCTTATTTCCATCTTTGCATATACCTCGAATATCTAAGGTAATCAAAAAACGATAACTGAAATACTGCAAAATATTAACCCAAAATTGGGGGGGGGGGGGGGTTCACATAATTGCCGGAAAGGTGGATTCGAATTTTTTAAGTCGAGATTTTTATTTTTTGGGGGGGACCTGAATAATTATTTCAAGATCATGCAGTTTTTACCATTCTGAGCATTTTTCATATACGTTTTGGCCAAATGAGGAGGGAAATTAGCGCAACAGATTTTGGAAGTCATACAAGTTGTATGTTGGATTTTGGCCATTTCCTGAGGATTTAAACAGGTGCATATGTTAGCCAATGCATTAGTTCGAGAAAAGCTCTTCTAGAGATGATAAAATAATTTCGACTTTAGGACAGGGTAGATGCAAACAACCCAACCACATGTTTTTCTGAAATGTTTTCCTGATTTTTCAACAGCTTCCATCCCTGCTTTTTTAATTTTTCTTGTATCAATATGTTGCATTTTGACACACAGTTAACCCTTTTAAAGGAATAGGTGATTCCTTTTAGATAAAGTGGAAAACAATATTTCCCATGTTATTTTCCCATAGGGAAAATTTATGCGATCCATTGCTTTCAGCTAATTTTGGTCACCCATAATGGATATCTTTAAAACCCCTGAAGGATGGGTAGATGGGTCCTAGTTTTATTCTATTTTATTTTAGTTTGTATTTCAACTAACATCTTTGTGTGTAAACATTTAATACGCTTACTGTATATTAGATATAGTAATTATTAATTACAAATAATTCCGCATAAATACAGTACAATAATATTCAAAACTTACTTCTTTCACAAAAGTTCATAATGAGCATAATGTACGGTTGCAATACGTTAAATGATTAAGGTAGTCATATTTTTACCATATTTGCTGTAATATACAAAAATTATGTTTCCTTCAAATTGTTAGAAAAATAAAAATATCAATCCTACTCTCCAAAACACTGTTTCAAAATGAAAGACTTAATTCCAAAATTGACATTCCGTTTCTAATTCTAATACATCAAAATCTGGGCACCTTATTTGAAGAAAAACATATGAAATATAGCATTAATGGTCGAAATTACTGGTAACCGGACAACTCATCCCCTAGACAACTCATCCCTGGACAACTCATCCCCTAGACAACTCATCCCCTGGACAAGTCATCCCCTAGACAAGTCATCCCCTAGACAAGTCATCCCCTGGACAACTCATCCCCTAGACAACTCATCCCCTGGACAACTCAGCCCCTGGATGACTAATCTTTTGGCATGTTTGAGTATAGTAATTTAATATCATATTACCAATTCATATTTGATTTTCAAATGATTTTTAAATGTTTTGGTTGTGGATATGGTCAGCTTTAAGTTTCAAAAACATATATTACATGAACACTGTTAATCCACTCAATTACGCTGTTGATCCGTTTGGGTAACAAAATGTTGGAGCCTCGAAGGTATATACGGTTTTTCTTTTTTCCTTATTTCACGAGTTGTAGGCTGAATTCCCATGACATTCTACAAGGGGTGATCCAAAAGTCTTGGACGCCCCGCTCTAACTTTGCTATTTTCTTATATAATTACACGAAACTTTCAGATAATAAAGATCAACATCTAAACAACTTAGCTACATTTCTAAATACTTTTTGATACCGGGTCCCTGTCACCCGGAACGGATTTAAATATAGCAAATCAAGTCACAACTGTTATAATATGGCAAATACTTTAGGTGCAGGTGCACAACCTAACACCAGTCATGATATGAGAGAATTTCCGATTTTCAGTCTGAGTGTCATCTGGCATCATCATCTTCACATATCAAGACCTACTTTTCAACATATTTTTCACGAATTTGAACACATTTTTCATACCGCTTTACCAATGAATGAAAGACATTTATGAAACGGCAATTGCCTATGTGATACAAATGCTACTGGAGTGCCACTCTAAACCTCATCCAATGAGTATAAAACATTTTCTTTCAACCCTCCTTTCAACTTGGAGAAAATCACACAGAGCCATATCTAGACTGTATCGTGCATATGGTAGCTGCTCAATGTCAATAATAGTGAAAATATATTGTAGTATTCTTTGTTCCACTTTGATTTCTTTCATGTTCTGCATTTCAGCAGTCATCTTGGAGCAAAAATGACACCAAAATGAGGGTTGATTGTCTGATGTCATTTTCTTAGAACTTGACATATACGGCCATTGCCATATGTGACATTATGATTTAAACACAAATAATTGGTTGCCTAGTAACAAAGGAAGTAAACTAACATGGTTGAACATTCAAAATTTAAGGAAGATAGTGGTCAAGACTTGCAAAACAAGTCAAATAGCAGCAACATTTAAGGCTGAAAGTTGCCACGTGCAAATAACGTCCGGGTGGCAGGGTCACTATATTAATAACTATCGGGAAAACTACATAAAATATATCATTTCACCATGAAATTAATACACAAAGTTAGGCTGTTGGTCTTTATTATTGGAAAGTTTAAAGTAATTTTATCAAAAACCAACAAAATTAGAGCAGGGCGTCCAAGACTTTTGGATCACCCCTCGTATGTCTAGCTTTTGAAACTTTATGTAAACAGAACAGAGGTATTAAATCAATGATTCTGTTGTCTTCTGTACTATTTGTTTGCAAACATGTACATTTTCTTAAACATATGATACCGACAAACGTTTGTGATAAAAATGTCGTGGGAATTCTGCCTGCAACAC